GCCCGCCTGAGTTTGGAGCTGAGGAACTTGGGGAGGTGCGATGGGAGCAAGTCACGCTTCTTTGTTTGACACACCTCCAGGCGTGCTGCAACAAGTGAGATTATAAAACGCAACTGCTCATCAGGATCGTTTAGAAGCTGTTTCTCGTAATCACAGTGATCTTTGTAGGGTCCTGCCACAGCGTCCTTCTGTTGCTCTTCCTGATTTCCCACGCCATCGTCAATGGGGACATCCATTCGTTGCACAAACATTTCAGGGGGCTTCTCCACAAGGCGAAACAGATGCGGGTACTTCTTAAGCCACGCACGAGAACGCGCGTCGGTTGTGCGTCGGATTTCATCAGGGAGCAATATCGGCAAATGCCCCGCAAGGACAAGCTGTCCATTCTGTGGGAGCAGATCAAATACGTAATATGCAAGGACGTCGGGGTGACACATTGGTGTAGTACCCAATTCATGCAGAGCGATGCACCGCTGGAGCAGACGCCTCCTCTCGATAAGGCCCACCCGTTTGTGGTTGCTAAGCTTTTCCAGTTTTTTTGGGAAAGTAGATTTAAACTCGGAAAGATCCTGCTGCAGTTCTGCAGACGCCTTTTCACTATATAGGGATGGGAGGTAGCGACTCTCGTCGAGCCAGAAGCGCACTCCCACAACACGAGTAGCGTCATTGGGATCATACTCAAAGTCTAAAATAGACCGCTCCACATCAAAACCCGCATTGTCTGCTGGTGTCTTGGTTTCTTCCCCGGCAACCGCCAGGACAGCGGCTAGCGATTGCGTTAACCACTCACCCACGATACTCTGCAACTCCGGAAGTTTCATGAACGCCTTCGTACTCAATGCGCGGCACATGCGGTATACATTGTAGTCCTCGATGCCGTCACCTTTATCCACCAGCTTCTCCACTGGTCGCTTCAGCGTGACTGTTACCGAGGGATCCAGGCAGGTATAGAGAGTGCTTCTCGTAGAACCACTATAATGAGATCCCTCATCAGATGATGTATGCTCGCTCAGCGCCGCACCGCGAGCTTTTTCACGCAACATATCCAGAGTCTCGCTTATCGTTTCTGCATCTGCCAGACGTGCCCAACGAAATGTCTTAAGTGTCGTTTTTGCTTTTATCAACTCCGTTACTTGTTCTGCGTCCGAAAACTCCTCGCCATTAACACAAGGTGCTGATGATGGCTTACTCAATGTGTATTCCTCGGTAAGCAGCCACAATTCCACGCCTTTTTTAGAGATCACAAAGTCACGAATGAAGCCCTCCATCCTGCCAATCAGCTCATGCTCATGCTCATCCTCTACCACATTCCCATCCGTATCGCTCCAACCGTTCAAAGAATTTGCCAACATGTTGGAATTCATGACAGCCTCCAGTCTGAAGAAGCGGCGCCGCTCGGCACTTGGAGTGTCAGTAATGTTGTGGTTTTGCTGCTGCTGAAATGCAGTGACCACCTTCTCTGTCGCTTCGTGTGCGTCAGGAATTCTCTCAACACGCTGGACATGCAGTAATCCATTTGAACCGCGGAAGAGTCGATAACGCTCTGGAAAACGCTCCAAGTGGTTCTTGAGCCCATTTTCTAGCGTCTCGATCACCTCGTCTGGGAGCTGCTTGGCCAGCTGCACCAACGGTGTTACACAAAAACGCGGCAAAAAAGACGCAACGGGATCATCATCAACGCTAGGATGGATGCCGCTATTCTCAAACGTGGGAACATGGGTCTCAAGTGGAGCGGAGCTCACGAGACGATGCGTGGAATACAACGCAGATGGCCACGCCGTAAGGCTAGCGATATGTCTCCTGCAGCCGAAGAGGTAAGCGGCCCTGCGGTGGTGGTGACGAGAATGTGGTGTCAGACGGCGCCACAGCAGCGGTGTCATGACAGAGAGACAAGAGTTTCCACCAGGTGCCATTCCGTCTTTGTTTTTCCTTCCTCTGCGAAGTGCACCCACATGCACACGGGCAGAAACCACCCACCTAAAGAGGCCTTGCGGAGAATGTATTAAAAGAAAAAAAAACGGTACTGAAGTTTACTCAATTGTTATTTGACAGGGTGAAAATCAAAAAAAAAAAAACCACAGGATCGATGATGTGTAGGGAGTCCTTGCCATATATGCTGTAGAATGGATAGAAACATCATTTTTGTTGCCCCTTTCTATCGAATAGGCACTCTCATACTTGGTGCACGTCAAGCGATCAAACCCATATCCCAGAAACGAAGGTGTCTGAGTTAAATGCTACATTATTTTCTTGTTTGTAACTGCTGCGCATGCTCCTTGTAACGCTCAATGACCCACCTGGTGCGCTGCTTCACATCCACAATGGGGCTCGGATACGCTGACCCGCTCACAAGGTTTCCGCCTAACGTTGCCTTGGGCTGCTTTTTCTCTTTGCATTTTTTAACCTTTGGAGTTCGCAGCTTAGTATTCGTTTGGCGCCGATGCTTTTCGCAGTATACGTCCCACTCGTGAATGGTCTTCGCGGAAACCTCGCGCAGTTCCGGAACCCATTGCTTGATGAATACCGCGTCAGGGTCGTGCTGCGCGGACTGGCGGAAAGGGTTGAAGGTACGAAAGTACGGCTGGGCATCAGCACCCTGCCCTGATGACCATAACCACCCGCCGTTGTTGTTTGCAACGTCGTAGTCGACTGCCACCGTCGCATACCACCGCTCTCCTTCGCGCCAGTCGACAAAGAGCACCTTCACGAGGAAGTTGGCGATGATCATGCGACAACGGTTGTGGCACCAGCCTGTCTGCGTCAGACAGCGCACGGCGGCATCCACAAGAGGGACACCCGTGCGGCCCTCCTTGAAGGCCGTGAAGGCGGCATCGTCCCACGACCAGTGAAAGTCAACATACTTCTTGTCGAATGGGTCATTCTCACAGGCAGCAAGTTGCTTGGTTTGCGTCACACCAGCCTTCAATTGCCCCTGCGCGACTCGTGGATTGTGGAAAAGCAGCATTGCGTAGAACTCTCGCCAAATGAGCTGACGCGTAAATGCATGATCTTTCCCGAGGTGCTGCACAGACTGCTGCATCACCTCGCGAATGGAAACGGTGCCAAACTTCAGGTGTGGGCTCAGGTGCGTTGTGTAGTCGCCAACGATGTCATCCCGCTCAGCGGCGTAGTGCGTCGCCTGCGCGATGCGGGACATACGCGACATCCCTTCATCCCTTCCACCCTCCTCTGCGAGCTGCGGGAACACCGGCGGAAATGCACCTAGATCTATGTAGTCCACGAGCTGAGCACCGCCCGCGTCGCCGCACCTCCGCTTCACTTTGAGCGTTGCCGCCTCCACATCGTCCTTCACGCTGGCGTCGACAAACCATTTGTTTACGTCAACAGGAGTGCAGTCTGGCAGAGGAATCGCGTGAAAGTGGTCTTGCAGAAGCTTTCGATAAAACGGCGTGAAAACGCGATACGGCTGCTCGCTCGCCGTCACCACAGCGTCCACAGGGAGGAGCGTGTAGTCCACATCGCTGGTCACGCACGACACTCCTCGTGCTTGGCACCACTCCTGCAGCTGCGCGTCACGCTCCCGCGCAAACGGGGTGATGTCTCGATTGAAGCCGAGGTACTTAACGTCGTACCCCGCGGCGTGGACGGCCTCCAGACAGTCCGCGTCGCTGCCACGCAGGCACAGCAGCCGCCCGTCCAGCTGCACGTCGCTAAGGTGGCGCAGCGAGCGGCAGAGGAACTCAAAGCAGGCTTTTCCAAAGTACGCGTTCCGCGCGGGATCACACTGGAGCGTATTGAAGAAGAACAGCGGGAGGATGCGCAGCGATTCACTCGCAGCGCGGCGACGCAGCTGCAGGAGGCCCGTGTTGTCTACAAGCCGGAAGTCACGGCGAAATAGGAAGGCTGCAACCTGCAGCGGGCTTGACGGTGATCGACTTCGCTTCGCCATTACTGCACATATTCTACATGGGCCGCGGCCGAGTAATAGAACACAGAAAAACATAAATAAACAATGACCAGCAGCCTCCGGCAGACTGAAAAACGACACCGGAAACAACAACAAGGCTCTGCTCCACTGCCACGGGTGATAGGGTAGCCTAAAGGGCACCATTCAATGAAAGGCAAACGGAAATGCTCCAGTACACGAAAGCGTGTATTCGACACAAAAGGTAAACAATATATATATATATATATATATANATATATATGTCTACAGCCCTCCCAGAATAATGCATACGTTTCAGCCATGGTTCACACGCATTTTAGCAACGACAGCATCGTCACCCTGCCATTAAACGAGAGAGGAGCATAGGCCCCACTCCTTACCTGGAACCGTTCGGTTTCGCAGCCTCATACACAACAACCTCGCCCGACAGCTGAGTGAGCATGAAAGTTGCGTGCGTTGTTGTTCTTGTTGTCCATGTAGTCATTTGACAATGATACGCAGAGTGGTGCTGGCGGAACATCTGGCGATAGTGCTGCTCCTGTCCCACAGATTAGTCACCACGGCGAGCATTGCGGAGAAAAAGGCGAATAGCACACACCCAAAAAGAAAAAGAATGTGAAACTCTTTCCTGGACAAAGCCATACACCCTGTTTTGCCCCCACCTCACCCCACCCCTGTACACACACACACAAGCGAGGAAGGTAAAAAGCAAACTGAGACGACGGACTTCCGCAGCTATGAAACAGAATAAACACATAACTTTTCCTTTTCCCCTTCCCAATTACCCTCCGTTCCATTCATCTCATGTTACAATCAGTCTGTGGCTGAGAAAACGACGGCGCAGCACCAAGAAGAACCACCTCAACTGGGAGACACAAGTCCCTGTCACACAGCGCCACCTCCAGCGCCCGCCATTCAGCAGGACATTTCAGGGCGGAGGGGGCCGAAGCGACCGCCTCATTTCCTCGCTGACACCGCCTTCGGCGCGTTCGGCACAGCGGAGTGGAGCAGCCTTCAACGCGTACCGGTGATTTACTCAGCAACGGCAGGAGACGCGGCAGTTTCTCGGACCCGGACAGAAAGCAGCACATACCACTATCTTTAGCACCACGCTCAGCTGCTCCCTTCTGAATCCCCGCCGGCTTTCCGCTACTTTCGCTGTGGTGGTCACAGGGTGCCATGCTTCTTCCATGCTGGATGTGCCTCTGCATCAATTCCCAGCCGCTGCTTTCCCATACCCACGCATATGCGACGCGACAACCAAAGCGCATCGAAAAGAAGGATGCAGAGGTAATTGTTCCAATATGTACCAGCTCAGCAGGAGCCCCCGGATACAGCAGGAGAAGTGCGCTCCCCTCTACCTGATGCTCTCGACCACCCTTCAATGCAATTTTGAGGAGGACGCGCTGATGCGCATTGGACGGCGTGCAGCACAACCGAGCCATGCGTGATTTTTGGAAGGCTGCATTGCTACCGCCTACGTCGGAAATCGCCGCACAGCCGGCAAGGCGCAACAGCACTTCTCTCTCGTCCTCGCCAATCATACGTACAGTACGCGCGTACCCACGTGCTTTGCATTGACGAAACGCCAATGATGTCCTGTCAACACAACTACGCGTCGCCCTCCATGCAGCTGCAGTCGCGGATGTGAGGGAGAAGAAGACGTGCCTGGTGAATTGAAAGTGACGCTTGCGGTACTGCCACACAAGACACCTGGTTGCGCCACCTCTCTCCAAATGGTACGGAGGCTTTCCTGACAGCACAAGAACAGTCATCACGCAACTGTGAATGGGGTACGTTCCGTGGTCGACGGTTTCAAGTGTTGGAGAGAATGAGGGAAAGACACACACTGACATCGTTTCTGTAGTCGTCAAGTGAGGTGAGCCAGGAGACACCTTTACCCCCTGTTGCTTTTCCCCCGGCGTGCGTGAAGAGCCTCCACCAACAGTACGCCCCCTCACCTCAGCGGCATCCACTCTCTGCTGTGCCCACGCCGCACTAAGCGATCCGCTGCCTGATGATGCCAGATCGGCATTGTGCGTCTTCACAGCATCCGCGCAACACCACAGTTCCAACACGGAGCCCAAGGCGGTTGGTGCGCCGCACGGGTTCCAATAAGAAACGAGTCGTATACTCAAATTACGGCATGCACGGGGTCCAAAATAAACTGGGACAGGTGCTACCAAAATGTATGCGGCCCTATTCTCTCGATTATCACGCAGAAGTACAACGGGAACAACAAGTGGCGTTGCTGCTGAGTCATCCAGCCCAGTATGTGGTTTTGGCAAATCCACCTTCTCTAGCTTCCTTTCGTAGGACCACATGGTTCCGTAAAAGACCCCATTCTCCCATCGCCTCCATGTCTCATCGACAGGCACAGAGCCACAGTTAGCGTATGCAAAGTCTTTTGTATACGACGCAACTCGGGGAGTACCATTCGTGCGCATCATCAAAAAATCCATCACCATTTCCACAGACAAATTGTGCTCGGTTCCATTCAGCTGGATCGTCCAAACGCACATGTGTGAGCGCTCAGCAGCAAAACACACTGGTGGTGGCACTGCCATTGGTTTACTCATAGGACGCCTGGGAGACTTTAAAGCAGTCGTAGACGACGACAAGCGCGCCACCCACCTCTGCAGTACTCTATGCTGCTTTCGCTGACTTCTTGTCGGCACAGCAAGCCTGACGGTAACGAGGTGAGAAGAACTGCCATCACCTGCCACAGAGCACCCATTAACGCGCCGCTTCACAACGCTATAATGAAACCGACGGCACAACTGCAGGTGTGACGGCAGCCACAACACTGCAGTCCGCTTCCCTACGCTTGATGATTCTAACCAAGAGTTAGAAGCGGCTTCTGGGGACTCACCACAGCAGCAGAGTGGCCGCTGCATCTTGCCCTGCCGGAGAGCAATGGTGCGCCGCCGAATCCGACGACATGCAGACGGCCGCCGCCTCAATGCAAAACGCCTCCGCCGCTTCAGCAACAGGCACCACTGCGCATACGTCAGGAGTCGCTTCTTCCCATTTTTAGTGCTCACCTTTGGCATTCGATATGATGTAGACCCTTCACCGACCGCCAGACGTGCGAATCGCTCGGTGCGCCGCATACGTGACTTCGCGAGTCGCACCACATCAGAGAGCGGCACGTTCGCCGAAGATGGACGGCGGTAGCAGACTATCCTCCTCCCCTCCGGGCAAAGATAAGTGTTTTCGTCATCCTCACGGGGGCGCTTTCGAAACAGCAAGGTGGAGAACGCGGCCACTTCCTCCACACGATTATTCAGCAGCTCTGCAATGTCCATCGCCTACTTTCGCTGTGCTAGCTCAGGAGAAGACGACAAAAAGAGCAAGCGGCCACTCTTCCTTTATCACGTGTGTGCGTGTTTACATATGTGCATTTACATGTCAGAGAGGCAAAAGAGAGAATGGATCGGGTCAAGCTAGGCTGCTTTATTTTTGTGATGGGCACCGTGACCCGCAAAGAAAAAAAAACGAAAGCTTAGAGACTTAGGCTCACGATAGAGCCGGCAGCCCGTGTTGCTCCCACTGGTGCAGTATCTGCACCATTTCCTCGTGTCTCGGACCGGCCAAAAACTTTCCAGCAGTTGACACAATAAACTCTGTCGCAAGCAGACTCAACTTTTCTTCAAAATGTTCCCTCACTTCCTCCAGGCAACGCTGCTGCAGCACCGCGTCCCAAACCTGACCATTCTTCGCCAGCAACCTCTGGGAAGTGTACAAGAGGCAGCGACGCATGCCCTCATCGCCAATGGCCTCAAGCTTGTCAGCGTCACTCACGATGTCGCGCACGAGGACCCAGTCGGTGGGAAGCTCCGTTTCAAACCAGCGCCTCCCGCGACTCTTCTCCTTTGAGTAGGAGACAGCCTCCATTGCGGTCACGGCGTGGCGACTCGCATCACACACGTTCTCTGCAGCTGCCGCCACCGCCACCGCCTCTGCTGCCACGAAGTCCCACACGCGCTGCACTAGTGTTCCCGCCGCATCGTACTTGTGGTCGGCCACGTCGTGGAGCATGGCGACCACGATTACCCGTGACATGGCCAGGGGCAGGTCAGTCAAAGGGCCATGCTGCATGTGGAGGAGGAGGACGGCATTCTCCGTGACTTTCTCCATGTGCGACAGTCCGTGAGAGGCGTCGCGGTCAGCGCAGACTTCACCCACAAACGCACGGCAGCGCTCCCACAGTTGGTAGTGTGCCGCTTCCATCTTTTCCCCTGCTGGCCTGCTGTTGTCTTCCACAGGAGACAAACACCGACAAAAAATAGGGTGTAAAAACAAAAGAAAAACAGTGAATAGAAAAGAAAATAAATAGAACGAAAGAGCCACCCCCCAAAAAAATGATGTATCTTTCTCATCCGGACGGTTTACACTGTTATGTAGGCATTACAAAAACACCAGCAATGAGCGTCTTTTCTTTGTGTTTTCTTTTCTCGTTTGATTCTCTTTGGCGTTGTACATCCTTTGCACTACTCAGCAGTATTGCCCCGCGCTGCATCGTACATAAGCGACAGCATGTTTATCTGGGATACCCGGTCAACACCACATGCGAAGAGCTCAGCAGCATAACGCCCCAAAAAACACTCGAGAAGCTCATTATCCTCACTTTCCGCAAACTGCCAACCTGCTTGAACATAGTACTCTTGAAAGGATCGTACCACAGACTCTCGAATAATAGCATCTTGTACAAAAGGCAAACGTACCGTCTCCGCTTGCTCGCGCACAGCGCCACAGCACCCCTCACCTTCACCATTTAAATCGGGGTCGTCCACATCCGTTGTAGCAATTACATGACGACTGCGAACGAGGCAGTAATGGAGACGTATGTCCGTCAGCAATGGATAATTTCGCGGCAAAACCACCTCCAAGTCCTCCAAAAGCTCTTCGCACAGGTGCAGAAGCCTCCCACTATCATAAGGTGTAATCGCAGCGTTGAGAGAAATGGCCAGACACTCCATCCGTGCCTGCAACCGGCAATGATGCGTCGGGGGCAATCCATGCGCAAAGGCATCGATGTCCATTAATCGCCGCATGGCCCTCTGGGCGCGCCGTGCGTACTGATCATCGTCTTCTACAGACTCGTTCTTCATCGGCTTATGTCCACGTTGCGCATTATCACTGCTAGCACCGCCACCTGTGTTTACTGCATCTGCGTCACTGACGCTTTTCAGAAGTTCATCGTGAACAGCACTAATCGCTTTCTTAAAATCTTCTGACACATGACCCACAAGACCCTTGGAACTACTGCTTCCCGCATGGACACAATCAGCTGCGTGCGCATACTGCGCTACTCCCCCCCTAGCCTCATACGACCTCTCCCCGCAGAGGTCCACACGCGCTGCCATTGACGGGCTGTCGCCGTCGCTGTTGTTGTTGTTGTCGTCGTCGTAGATGAGCCGCTGGCAGAAAGGGCACACCACACCCTCCAGAAGCGCAGCGTGTGACTGACAGAAGATGCAGCGACACCAGAATCCATTCTGGAGCCGTTTCACAGACCTTGGAAGAAGCAGTGACGAAAGGTATGTGACAGTTATCTCCTCGCCAGGCTCGATATCGCGAAGGGCGACAATGTATAAATCATTGCCACCGCAGGCAGAAGCCACCATTCCCTCGTCGCTGAAGAGACGCAGCGTGTTCGGGGAGCAGCTGTGGTTGATGAGAGAAGCGAGTGGATACAGTCCCCTCCCCCGCCTCGTTCCACCGCCCTGCTGGATCCGAAAGCCTTCGGCGGGAGGTTGTGCGATGGCGCGTTCGTTCCACCCGCGAACAAGGTCAGAAACATCCCGCGCTAGGCCGTTCCCATCACAAACACCGACGCTCTCGGCAAGCGGCATGGTGACGAGCAGGTGCAGCGCCGCCCACATGTCAGCTGCCCGCGTGGCGTGCCCAAAGAGTACACCACTTCGCAGAGCTTCCACCGCTTGTGACGAAGCCACATCGTCCTTGTGTGAGACACCTCCCCGCCGAAACAGATCCAGCGCTGCTCCTGCTACTACCGAAAGCTCGGCGTTGTAAGTATCGGGCATGGAGGTGGGACTGGTAGATGGGTCGGCGAATAAGGACGGGCGCTCCCGCAGAATCACCGCGCCTTCGGGGATCCGCCCCGTGGCGACAAGCCCCACACCGTGCGAAATACGCCATATGTTTTCTGACGGTTCAGCACAAGGGTGAAGGAAAAAAACGCCATTGCCCTGCGGCGTCGCCCCGCCCTCTCCCTCGCCAGCATTCCCCACGCCGAGCAACGCCCAGCGAATCTGGCGCTGCAGATCTTCACACGACGCGTCAAAATGCGCCGTAGCCACTTGCACAGCCGTTGTAGCGGCCACAAGGCACTGCCACGCGAGTGATAAACCCTCACGTGACACCCATAACAAAGTAGTGCCGTTAGCATCATAAGCCTCCACAGCACCCTTGGTTTTATCCACACAACTGTGATTACCAGCAGCATTCTTAACAAATGAGAGGCATGCAAGAAGTCGAGCCTGACGCAGCAGGGCTCCAGTCTTTGCCACGTACACTCTCCTCAGAACATCGCGCCCCACGGCGATACGATGGGCGAAGAGTCCAGATGCAGCGTTCAGAGCATCTAAAAACTTCGCAGCGGCTTGCAAGCCGCTGCGCGGGGCTTCGGTGCCGGGCAAAGCAGACCCCCCTGAAATAACACCCTTAAAAAACGGCCACGCCACCGTCGTTGTCGTCTGTTGTGTGGCTGACTGGTTGGCAGCACTCATCGCATCGGGCCGCCACCACCAATTTGCCATCAACGCCGGATTCTGGCATGACTCACGGTACCACACCGATTCATCACTCGGCAACAGCGTAAGGTGAGCTTCGCACCACCGCCAGCCAAGCTCCGCGATTTCTTCATATTCCCACCACTGACGTATCTTTGCTGCCTGCCCTTCCATTTTTTTACACACGTGGCAAAACGATGATTCTATTAAACTGCATGATGCCTCCACCGCTTCTTCAGCGACCGTGCACTTCACACATGCCTCGACTGTACAAATCATCGCCTCGACCATCAGCTCTCTCACCCTCTGACAGAGCCATGCCGCCTCCGCCTCCGCCTCCGCCTTTTCCACAGTTCGCATCTCGCCACTAGCAATTTCACCGTCCTCCGCCTCCTCCTCCAGTTGCACCAAGACCGACAGCAGCGCCAGCCCACCTGATGCCGCCTCCGCAACGTCCATCTGCGGCTCCTTTTCATTCGGAGAACCGGCTAGTGATGGTGAAACGTTGTTGCGGCGGCCGACTGCAAGACGCTCACCCCACAGTTCCACCAGGCGTAATGCATCTTCTTTCCTCGTCATCGACAGCGTCGCCATCGCTAAATTCATAGAGACAGAAAACGAGAGAGAGAGAGAGAGAGAGGAGGGAGTTCAAGTCAAAAAGAAATGCGCTTACGATAGGCGAAAGGAGCAATTTCACCAACGGAGTACGGCCACATTGGAGGAAATGCAACGTCCACTCTTGAGGGAGTGAACTGTGAAGTGATACGTGCCTATTAGCCCCCTCACAAGCTCTGGAACTCCTCAAGAAAGCGTCTCCTTGCAAAACTGGAGCCACAAGTCATGAAAAGAGCGTCTACAGATGAGATGGTTTCTTTTTCCCTATCGGCGATTGAAGGGGAATCAGAGACAAATAGCCCCAAAAAAAGACAATTGCTAAAATACCACCGCCCATGAAATCGAAGGGGGGCCCCGACGTAAAAGTGCAGGGAAAATAATTGAATACCGAAAAAAAGTAGAGACGAGATAATCAAACAAAAAAAAATACGTTTTTGTGATTTGCCCGGAAAATTCGTTTGGTAGGTCAGCTGCCTCGCTGTGCCCTCCAGAACTACTCCATCTCGATCATAACCTTTACGTCGGTTGGCTTCCGTGAAGCGGCACGCTCAAAAGCCTTCACACTGTCCTTGAACTTGAATCTGGCTGTCACCAGCGGTTTCACGTTCAGCTTGCCAGAGCTGAGCAGACTGATGATCTTGGGGTACACGTTGCGGTAGCGGAAGATGGTTTGGAACGTGATTTCCTTCGCTTGTGCAGCCACCACGTCGAATGTCACGGGGTCCACCGGCATGCCGATCAACACCGCCGTCGCCCCTGGCGCTGCGTGCTCGTAGATCATCGGGTATGCCGCAGCAGAGCCACTGCACTCGAAGACACAGTCGGCACCTTGCCCATTGGTCAGCTCGTTCACCTTCTGCTTCACCGCGTCACCCTTGGACACGACAGGGTGCACCCCTTTGTACTGCGTCACCATCTTGAGGCGCTCCTCAACCACGTCACAGATGACGACCTCCGAGCAGCCACCGGCGAGTGCGGACAGAGCCGTCATGATGCCGATGGTACCGCAGCCGATCACCAGTGCCACGTCACCGGGCTTAATGCCCGCCTTTGTGGCTGCGTGCATGCCGACGGCGATTGGTTCGCACATCGCACCCTCCTCGTAGCTCACGTTGTCTGGCAGCTTGAAGCACAGCATCGCGGGGTGGATAACTGTCGTGCTCAGGCACCCGTGCACGGGTGGCGTGGCGAAAAATGTCAGGTCGGGGTCGAGGTTGTAGATGCCCGTGAGCGTTTGCACCGACTTCGTGTTGGGGACGCCGGGTTCCATTGCGACGCGGTCGCCCACCTTGAGGTTTTTCACTTTGCTGCCGACGGCGGTGACGGTGCCGGACACCTCGTGGCCAAGGATCATCGGTGCCTTCACCACGAATGGGCCGATGCGGCCGTGCTCGTAGTAGTGCACGTCGCTGCCACACACACCGACGCTGTGCACCTTCACCCGCACGTCATCATCTCCCAGCACGTCATTCACCTCGATATCCCGAATTTTGAGCTCCCCGGGCTTCTCGAGCACAAGTGCCTTCATGAGCGTCATAATTGATGTGGAATTGATTTATGTGTGAGCGTATAGGCTTTGGCGCAAGCAACACGTCGGAAAGAAGTGAAATAAAAATGAGCCCAGAAACATGAGAGAGAGAAACACCAGGCACACGCCAAGAGCGAAGGATGTGAAAAAGGCAACGCCAGAAAATACAACTAGCAAGCCAAGGTTTGCTAGAATCCCCCCAAGAGAGGTTAGCGCACAAGCACTTCGTAATGCTTTATTTTTTTCTTTTTCCCCACCCGCCCACGTCATAGAACACATTCACCGTTACCGTGACATGAATGAACGTGAGCGTGAATAGAGAAATACCGAGGCACAATGAATGGCGAAAGCCGCCCCCCCAAAAAATATCACTGGAAAAAGGACAAGGATTACTCCCCGACACCATAACAGAAAGCATAAAAAAGAACTCACTCATTCACACAAAGGAAATCCTACTCTTCGAAAAAAAAAAGTAACGTCACCACATCCGCACGGCATCTTTTCGCTTCGTTTACCCTCCCACCCATCAGATATATACACACACACACACACACACACACACAAAATAAAGGAATGCTTTACCAAGACATACACGCACACACATGTATATATATATATATAACCCGCAAATATACACTGGTAAAGACACATGCACAAAAATACGCAAGAGCTCTCGCCCCCCATCCTCGGACTTCCCTCGCAGAGTACTTCTACCTCTTTTCACAGTTCTTCTAGCGGCTTCGTCTTCTTCAGTGATTGCACACTTTCGCGTTCCGCGCGGAGAAGCTGCTGCTCCAGAGAAATCATTTCCTCCACCTCCTCCTTGTAGGCCGACCGGCGGCAGAAGTACACAGCAGACATGGCTACAATCAGCAGAAGCAGCAGCGTGCCAAGAACAACGCCAACGACAACGGCTGTGTTGTTGCTCTTGTCTTCTCCCCCTCCAGGAATTGGCTGCGGGGGCACATCGACTCTCAGTCCCGGAACGCCCTCTCCAGCGCCAAGAACAAGAAATCCAATGTTTTGCCGTGCGCCCCATTCTGTGACTGACACGCGTGTACGAATGCCGACCGGATACGTACCCTGATCTTTGTCGTGCGGGATGCTGAGCTCGCAGGACATCTGTGTTTCGCTCACCGCAATCACTCTACAGAGAATAGGGTTTTCTGCGTCGTTGCTACCCACTCCGATGTCGTTGTACGACGGATTGGCCGAATTAAAATTTGCGCCGTGAAACGTCAGCTGCGCGCCGGTAACGCAACTCGCGCTGGAGTCAGCGCAGCTTCCTGTCGCGGACTCAACGAAAGGATCTGGTGGTTGCACACGAAGCGTTCTGAAGGCGTACTGGGCGAACAGGACGGGTGCCTGGCCATTCATGAGAGACACATTCCAATCGCCTATGACCCCAGCACGCACCCGCATTCCACATTTCACCAAGCTGGTTGTCACTGTTTGGACATTGCACACAGGGGCCAATGCCGTGCCGCCTCCCGGCACAGAGGGTGTAAATGCCACACTGTAGCTAGCACTTGGAAGAAACCTTCCATATATTTCCACAGTCGTGTCGTTGCGCACAAAAGAAGGGCGTATAGCCTCTACAATCTCGGCCTCCGGCTCTGGTGGATTCGACACATGCACATTGATGAGCGTGCTCACCACCTTGGAGCGCACAGGCACCACCGCGCGTTGATTGGAGGCCTTTGTGGAGCACGAGAGGCACAG